ACGGCAGATGACTACTTACAAGTGACAAGTCCCAAAGCCGGACCCGGAACGGGAGCGGACCGGACCGTAGTGGAGACCTGAGCCGGGCTAGTAGACCGGGCCTGGGTCAAACCCGGAGAACTTTTCCAAGCCGATCTCCACTTCGGGCTTATCGGGAACTCCACAACCGTCTATATCACGACGAAAAAAAAAATGAAAGCAGAAAAAAAAAAGGACGCGAAAAGGAGCCAAAAAGAAAATATTTGAGTAGCTGCAACTCGTTTCGATCGAGTGACCTCCGGGTTATGAGCCCGGCGCGCTTCCGCTGCGCCATGCAGCTTGTTTTTAGCTGTTGTTGAAAGTTGTGGGTAGCGCATGTTTTTATATACGCTAAAGAGGATCTTACATTCTGCATATCTGCGCTCAAACAACTCTCTCTCTTGCAATCAACTTATCAAAGCTGGCCGAGAACCAAGTTCTTCTATGTTAATGTCTGCTTTGTTATTTGTATTAGTATCCGTTCCGGTGCTACTAACTCTTTTCATCAACTGTCCAACTCATCCGTTAGTCTACACGCATCTGACTAACAGCATACGGAAAACCGTATAACACCAGCTCCCAACAAGGGGAGAAGTCACTTCCAATGCCGTAACCTGACGTTATATACGGAGACAGCGCAAGACCACAGGGCAAAAACCTAATAGAGAAAATAGTTGTCTACGTAAACATCGAATGTCGTCCCTTTTCCGGAACCAAGCAAGCCCTCGCTCCCAGCCTTCGTTACCAGCTAGCTCTAAACGACGGTATCCTGGTCGTTACCAGAAATCAGCAAAAAAAGTAATGATCCACCACCTGAGTCTAGGTGGATAACAAAATAATTGACAAGAGTGGGATTCGAACCCACGCCCTTTCGGACCACGGAACTCTGAGAGGAGATTAAGGGTTAACCTTAACGTGGCGCCTTAGACCGCTCGGCCATCTTGCCTTTTGATTGGATGAGAAAACGGACAGCAATGTAGTTTATGAACGACCATAGGCAATGTCAGTCATCGAGCCAGCCTACGAACGGTATGGCTTCTTAAACAGCGATTTTGATTTCGACCATGCCTGATAGAGTCGAATTCGTGAAAATGGGGTGTCGAGCTATCACGACTAGTACCTAAGGACCATTGTGTTAGTGTTGACACTGTACCATAAGCACCGGTGCTTCTTTTCAAGAGTGCATTCGCTACACACGAAGTCTCCAGTCTACCGGCAACCCACCGAAAGACAGCACTGTCCTCCTACCTAACTAGTTTCCGACTTCCGGATAGCTAAAATCTGCTATCCCGTTACCAATCCCTTACAAAGAGAGTTACTATCCTCCGTCGGTTTCATGAACAAACTACCAAGTCATCCAAATCCTAAGGTATTTACGAGGTCCAGCCCTACCTACCTGCCTGCCTCTCACCGCGTCTGTTGCTCTCTGACTTTAACATACGTAGAGTCACCAGGGTATCTCTACTTGCATTTCCTTTTTTTCTTCTCCTTTTCTTTTGCTCAGCCTCTAAGGAAGACAGACTGGAGGTCGACTCCAGTCCAGCCAAGTCCAAGCCAGGCTCAGAATGGCATGGAATTCGGCGACGGCAACAGTGAGGTCTCAGATAGAGAGGTCTTGAAGTTGAGTTGAACGAATAGGAAGCCATATACTGATTATGGAGAGCATAGAGGAGAAGCTGCGAAAAAGCAAGCAAGGTAACACCAACGGACGGCTAGTCCAGCCCGGTAACATGGCCGTTCTCTGGTGCCTGGAATACGGAATTGCTTCTTTCTGTCTTCTGTTGCACAATCCATTGGAACGTCGAAATCAGGTACCCGCGCCGGTACTCCGGGGAAGACCGACAGACCACCCACATGGGCAAACACTCATGTGACCGGCTGGCGTCTAAGTGAATTGATAGCGAAGCTTCGATAGTGTTCCATATTGAATTGCAAACACCAAGCATGTATCAAGCTTTCCGGCCGTAAGGCAAGGTTGATTAGTCTCCGTGGTCATGTTTTGCGCCGATTTTCGGGTCCGAATGGTGCAACCGCAGACAAACATCGTAATCGGCAAATGCCCATGGTCATGGGAATTCTACGTTCATTGACGGTGAACCATAAGTCCGGGGCTCCGGGCTAGAGATGCGGAGCAGAGGAATGCAAGATGTCCCAACAACCCGGGTCTCGGATTTTCATTCAATTTCTCTGGCCCAAAAAGAAGACAAACTTGCGAATAACTTCATGACATGAATTTGACGATCAGAGCCCATCCTTCCGCCATGTTGTGATCGATGGTGAGCTGTTCCTCCTCAAAGTTTGACTTCCAGCTAGGTAAGGTATGTTGGAACTAACGAATGTTTACCAGACTGTTGGTAAACTGAGGATTGCAATATCGTGACCACTTGACTTAGCCATAGCCTCCCTTCCCACTGCAAACTGCAAAAGGTTGTACAGTTACCTGAGCTATCTCTTGACCTGGTCTTTTGCCGAAAACACTGTGTTCGTGAAACAGAATAGACAGACACTAAGACGGAAATGGATAAAAGTCCCCTAGCAGCTAGCCTTCCAGTCCATGATCGAGATCGTCCGGCAGAAAGTGCGTCCGAGACAAGCGCGGACAAGGTACGACAGCGTTCAGTTGCGACTTGCGGTTTGGATGCCGGGGCAGGCAAGGTGGTGACTGGCGGCTTCTGGGAAAGACGGGTGCGCACACTGGGGAGAATGTGAGACAGAATGGCTGGCTTGAGAAGTAGTATAAATCCAAAGATAGACGCGCCAGGCGCAGGCAAGCCATTCCAACTTGGGGATGGTTTTGCGAAGTGTTTAGGACAGAAGCAAGCCTAGTTTTCTGTTAAGAATGGTAATCAAGGTAACGCTTCTGTGAAGGAAGCGGGTTGAAAGGCGGCCAAGAAAATCTTAGGCATTGGCGGGGAAGGCGAGCTTACACGGTCTCTCTTTTCCCGTGATATGTTGATTCAGAATCGACTGATTTCCATGGATCTTTGGGCGGCGATTGTATTTCGCTTGACACCTTGGCTGGAAACTTTGCTCTGTAACGGTACCCGGCATTCGGGTTCGGCATTGATGGGCAGGTAGTGTTCTGCGTTCTTGTAAGGCCTCAGTTGAAAAGCGACGTAGATCGGTGAGTTATCGTCGAGTTTGCCGAGATCTTCCTGCGTAGGCGATAACATAGCCCTCCAGGGTCCCCATTCCGCGCAGTGAGTTGCAAGTCCCTCCGATACTGTTTCCATTGCATGAACAAGAGCATGGAGAGTATGGGTTACTAGTGCTGGACTGTATGAGCTGCACGCTTAATGGTTGATAGCTCGTTCGGCGAATCATCAATTGGCAAGGGAAGGGCGAATGGATGAAAGAAGCAAAAAAAGGTCGCCGACGGTTCAAATCAGAAAGACACTCTTCAGTAAGACCTTGAACCGATTCCGAAAGGGTCCCTTGATGTCTCGGACGGCCCTTCCCAGAGAGATAAGCACATCGACGATGGACAACCCGTCCGAGTCACTGTTCACCGTTGTCCGAGGGGTTCCCCGGATGCTTTCCCTTCTGGTATCCCGTAGCGTGCAGGTGAGCCTGTGTGAAGGTGTGTGATGGCCCGTCACGGTAGGGTTGAGGTCGGTAATCTCTAGCGTGGTGTCTTACCGATCATGTGAGCGATCACGAACGCCCGTTGCGACCTGTCAAGTTGTCGAGCAAACCCCAGTGCCGGGGGTCCGGGCTCGCTTGTTCCATGGGCTGAGTCGTTGCCTGGGTCATGTACCCATCTGTGGCTGCTCGTGGCTTGACTGATCGATATCACAATTTCGGATTCCCCATGGCCCATGGCCTGATTTTCACTTCCCTTTTCGACTCTGGCGGCATGTCTTGCCTGGCCCTGGGCGTTGTTCAATGGATGATTCGTCTGTCGTAAAATACTTCGGATCTTTCTCACAGGTGCAAAACTTCGGAAACGGTCCCTCAATAAACTAATAGGACGATAGTCGCTGGTCGAGCTCCGTTTTGCCTGCGCAAGGACAACAGTGGAATAGTGGGAGTTCACCCAAAAGCGTGGAAGTGACGCTTGAGTTGGTCATTTATGCAGGTGATCGCTTCAGCTGGATGCGATCACGGTCGTGGCTCTCTTCCATTCGATGCCCGTTGACCTTAGACTTGTTTCTGTCCTATAGAAGCTTATTTCAGGTCGTTAGGATGCAACATCAGTTCCTGTCAAGACGGCATACGAAACACGTTGGCGGTAGCTGAGCTTTTGAAACACACTGTGCATAGGGCTGTGTATGTTGTTGGCATCGCATGCCACTGTTGGTTAACCCTGGACGCACGCGACGCTGGCTACCATCTTTACATCCAACGAGAGTCTTGAGCCTTATGACGCCTACAGGGCACATGGTGGTAATTCCATGCAGCTTGGAGGCGAGCAAGTCTCAAGCAGACACCTCCTGGGATATAGGGAAACAGTGGTCATTTGACTGCCAATCGTTACCTCACTGAACGTCAATCCAGCTCCTTGCAGACACGACGACATCATTGATTCTTCTTCTGATGGTTACTGGGGGCTGCCAAGGGGGTCTGATCTGGCGTTGACATCGCGAGCGTACCGTCTGGAAGTACTACCTCAGACCGGCGGACCTGCCACAGTACGAAAGGATATGCTATATCGCAGACGAGAGAAACCCCCCAGAGGAATACGGCAAAGGGGTTGAAGACGAACCCATGTGCCTCAGGCCAGAACCACCAAAGGAAGACGTTGGCCAACACCAAACCGACCAGTGTGCCGAGTGCTCGACATAGCCTGACGTAGCTGTTAGTGACGGGACGTCCGTGATTGGCATTGTAGTGTATGTGAAACGACAAACTCGCAAATGTTTGCGAAATTGTTCCAGAGATAGTACCACCTTTGTCGAACCCGAACTTGAAGCGCGTATTCGTCGATTAAATCAATGACCTTGACACCATGCAATGTCCATGTAGAGATACAGGAAGAAGACCTACCAAATCAGATAGCTTGTTCCCCCAGAATGCCCCCGGGTAATGAGCATGACGAGACTCCCCGCGCTGCCCGCAAGTTGACAGACGGCAGCGGACCAAAAGGCCACCTCGGTGGCGTCATAACCATTCTGGCCCGCCCAAAACTTGCCCGTCTTATCGCCGGAACCACGGTGAGGCTCGGACATCCACCAAGCCGCAAAGGCGTAGTGACCCACGCATCCGACGGCGGTCAAAAGAGCAAATATCCAGCCGATGTTCCGGCCCACCCACGGATTCGTATAACGCCAGGCCTCGGGACCGAAGTGGACGGTGGTGTATATGAGACCGATGTCAAGCAAGAGCCAGAAGGCAAACCCAAGTTTCTCCAGGATCATCTCGCTGACGTAGAAGGAATAGACGAGCTCCCATGAGACGTTGAGGGCGAGTGCCAGGAGCGGCATGCCGTAGGTTTTGGTAGCCAGCGCGCGGCGCGTCATCAAGATGTAGGTCGCGTCCCAGAAGAGCACGCCGATGCCGAGCAGAGCGGTGCTCGTGGGGATTACCCATGACGGGCAATGGGCCGGTGGCACATCATTGGAGCCCATCGGAGTTGGCGATCAAGGTGAGGAGTGATGACACTTTGAGGATGATGATGGATATAGCTAATCGTCGTGTCTTCGGGTGATGATGCCGAATTTGTAAGGTGATGGTGAAAAGAGAGGAAGCCGGAGTTGGGTAGTAAGTTCTAAGTGAAGAATCGGCGAAAGGCCCCTGAAGTCCATGGTGAGACTTTTGCATTAGTGGTACAGACCATTTTACGAGGCCCCGCTCATCATTGGCTCTTGACTTTCAAAGAGGACATCCATGGTAGGGATGAGGTTTGTGCACATCGCGATGGACCACCGCATTTTCAATGTTTGTCTGCAAATCGCCGTGCTGTAGATTCATGTTGTTTTTCTTTGTTTTGTTCACAAGATTCGATGTTGTTGACGAGGGGATGCTGAAGTGACCCCGCCTGAGTCCTGGGGAGCACACAGACCACTTTCAGGG